CCCTTTCATTTAATAATCAATGCTCCCTTTGAATTCAATCACAAAACCCCACCTCATTCACACACACTACTCCATGACTCCACTTAATGCTACTATAATTAAACAATCTCTTCTTTCTCTTTCTTTTTCTCTCTTTCACCTTTTCTCACACCAAAATACTATGTACCAAATCCCCTTCCCCTAGGGAATAAGCAAAGCCATTTAATGAATGGCACTTCTCACCCAAATAAAAAAGATTAATTTAATGCTCCCAAGTCCCAAACTCTCATCGTACGTACATTATATATAGTACTAAATAATCTACATCACTCCAGTCAATTTAACTCAAAAACACCCTCCAACATGAAAAAATACTGAGGATTGTAAGGACCACATTTTCTTTTTCCTAGCTCCTTATTCTTAATTCGCCACCCCTTAATTAACATGAACTTGCTCTGTCGTCATCTGTATTCCACCAGCTGTTATTTAGTTTTCTCCTTTTATAAGATGTGGAAGATGATGAGGACGAGGATGATGACTCACTGGTTAATACAGTACTAGCCCGAGTCATTACTCGTACCCGTGGTAAAACTTTTGGAAATCTCCTTGGTCTTAATGCAATGGCATACTTTTGCACTAATTCATAGCAACCCACGATTTTATCCTGCCAAAAATGGGAATTTCACTTTATTCTTAAAGTCAGGAACTTTTTATAATTAGAAAGCAGGCAAAAGAAGGCAACAAAGTTTTCTTACTTTGCGGAGTCCATCGCACCAAGATTCAGCATGTTCAGCATTCACAAGAGAGAAATTTGGAAGATCATTAGCTGCACAAAGTATTGTTGCAGCAGCTATGCATGATGGCCAATATTCAAGAAAGCTAGCTTCTGTAAATATCAGCAATATGTTATCAGCGGAATAGTTGATGTACATGTAAGATGTAGGAAGAGTTTAACTTCTATATATTGTACACACATAGTACTGCAAGAAATTTTACACTATTAAATCAGTATAAAAACTTTTTATATTGTAAGTATATACAAGTTATATTAGCGCAAATATACACATGCATGCATGTGTAACGTACGTATATTTGCTTCTTCTTTTCTTTTTCATTTCTTTTTTTCTTTCTTGGGAAAACCAACCTTGAATATTTGAGAGGATAATTTCAGTAGCCTTTGAAATAAGGAAGCCAGTGAAAGTTCCTACTGGATCAAGCTTATAGGCAAAGAAGCTGAGGAAGCAAAACGGGGTTATGGATCGGAGCCTCCAATCTAATACCCTCAGCACAAGAAACTCCATTCTTTGGATGGTTTTGGGTTCAAATATGTACTTTGCACCTTCAACCTATGAAAAAAAGAAATTGTTAAATTCAACTTTAAGCTAAGCTCAGAAAGAAAACACGTGAGGGGTCCTTTTTTTTTTACGAGAAAATGAGGGATCTTAATGTCTTTTCTTTTTTAGAAGAAAACAATCAAATACAAACAAATTACCTGAATATCCAAAAGAGAAGGAACAAGAGGTTCCTCCATTTTTGCTGCTAAAGATAAGCAAGCAACCGACAAGAGTTGTAGCGGCCAACAGTCTGTTTGCTGAAAATACATAGAAAGGGAAATTCGTTAAGATAATCGTATTTAATACAAGTAATAAAGAAAATAGAATTCTCAGTAGGTTAAGTATACTTTTAATAAATTTTATAAAAGAGACAAGCGGACCTCCTGAACGAATACTTTTAGGTCCTATGTCACCTATACTAAATTATTGTCACGCATGCATATAAAGTACAATAAACTCATTTAAGCGAGAAAATAATGAGAACTCGAAGTTTAAATATTTTCAGCAAAAAAGGAAAAAGATTTTAAGTGATTTATTCTCGTTTGCTTAAACTTTAATGTACAAAGTTATTTAATATATGTGATCGCGGAAGGTGGTAAAAATTTCCGACAGAATAATTGAATGCAAATAAATTGTCCCGAACATCACGATATATAAATAATTTTTTTTAAAAAAGGTATAAGGTGGACAATGCGACGATCATTTATTTAAATACTGATCGAGATTGAAAATTGTAAATAAAGGGTTTCGAATACTTTTTGATCAACTTTCAAGTTTACTATTTCATTCTCTCTTGCTTTTCCTATTTTACTAGCTGAAAATACCTTCTACAGCCCATTGTTTTTAGGTGACACTACAAATTACTATAAAATCTTGATCACATTATTATTGGCGAGATCAGAAAACAAAAGATCTTGTACTTTTACTACGATATAATACTAGTCATTATACAACACAGTAAACAAACAATGAGGACCCAATTAGTTGAATTTGTCTTCGCCTTGTTAGATGATTACAACTAGATCTCACCAACAAAGTCAACAATAATAACGATAATTAAGTTCGCATAACTGATAAAGTTGTTGTCATGTGACTAGGAAGTCACGAGTTCGAGCCGTAAAAACAGTTTCTTGTAGAAATGCAAGGTAAAGGTCCGACCGTTTCCAGACCCCGCACATAGAGGGAGCTTATTACACCGGGTTGCCTTTTTTTTAGACCCTCTATGAAATTATAATTTACTCACTTTTCTTAATTCGTGAAAAGTCAATGATGTCATTGTAAAAATAATAAATGACTAAAAAATATTAATTTGGAGAAAAATAAACTTTTTTTAGTAATTCGAGAATGTGCAACTCAATATCGAAAATTTATCTTATATAAAAAAAATTAACGTTATCAATATAGTTAACCGTCATCTTTTCTAAGTTGTCAATCACTTATAGATTACTCTAATAAGTACGGTCCCTTTTTGTGTTACGTCTAAAAAGTTTTATGCATATCTTATGCATTGATAATGTAAATGTAATATAGTTTAAAGTTTTCTTAATGACGATGATGTTTGGTACCTCCAATATAGTCAAACTTATTTTGGCCCTTTATTCCGGTCACACGCTCCTCTCGTTATAAAAGGGAAATGAAAAGAAAAAAGAAAAAACTTGAAAATGACTAGTTTACCGGCAAGCTTTTAGAGTAGAGAAAACGATCGAAGTAATTAACAGCGAGATACGCCGTTAATGGCTGGAAACCATAGTGGCGTTGTACCTGCAAAAACACAACGCTGTTAGTTACTCGATTCATCGTTACGTTATTTGAATTCGATTTTTCAGTTTCAAACAAATATGGACATAGCGAAGAAAAAAGAACTGAATAGTGCGTGAGTAAGCCTCAGGTATATTTTAGCAAAAAGAAGAAACAAAAATATAACATGCTCCGTAAAGTTCTTTCGCCGGAGTTTACTGTGTTATCCGATGAGATTGATTGAACAGTACCTTGAGAATCCATGCAACGGAATCTTCTCTAGCAACGGCGATTAGAGATTGAGATTGAAACCTCTCGAAATAGTCAAATCCAGGGACGAAGTATCGTTCGTCTTCAATAAGACCGGCGATGGATTCATCGAAATCGACGAACTGAGATTCGATATCCGACGACGAACATTCCGGCGAATCCTCTCCTCCTCCTCCGTTTGTGAAAACGGTGTCGGAGTCCTCGCCGCAGAGTAAGTCGGAGAAGCAATCGGAGCACGAGACTGACATGATAGGTCGATAGCGATTCTCATTCTGTTCTGATCATCTTTGATAAACGGAAGTTGATTGCCGGAAACGGGGAGTGATCGGAGAAGATAGCCGGAATGTCGACGTGGACGGCGAAAAGATAGAAAGGAAGTGTTATGTTTTTTTTCGTCTTTGATTGTGGCTATCTCATTCACTGGGTATAAATAGTTATATTATGAATTTTATTTTGTAATTTTGATTTAATTTCATTCCAGGATAAGAAAGTATCTACAAAAAAGAATTGTTAATTGAGCTGTAGGAGTTCAAAGTACTAGGAGTATTGCAGGCTTTTTATTCTTTTTCTTCTCTTTTATTTTGAAAAACATATCAACAAATACACTGCAGATACAGGGTTTTGTATTGTTTTAAAAAAAACCGTGAGAATTATTATTGTCAATTTGTCATTAGAGATTTCCATTTGTTATGTGTAATTGGCTTCAAACGGCAAAAAGGGCAAGGGTATCTCGGTGCACAAATGATCTCGCATTCATGTATCCTACGGGGAGAGATTTCATTTCGAAGGATATGACATAGACAGCGAACGCATTGGCCAATTCCACAGCAATAATGAGTAATTCATTTTTAGTTGCTATTATCAAGAGGTTTGCACAAACTTGAAATATTTAGCCAACTTTTTAGGTTAAATATAAAATTAAAAAAAAAAAAAAAAAAAAA